TTTCTGAGAAACGAGATTCTGGTAGCATTGGTTTAAACGGGAGGATTCCTAGAAAAAAGAGCCACGCCTAGCTACGGAAACGATGTCGCGGCTACGCGGGATTTTTTTCAAACCTCACCGAAAATGTCTCGGCTGGACATCAGTCCTGGGTAGAGACAACCAATCAGACGAAAGTTCTGCTTCTGAAGGATCACGTGATTCCAATTTGAGCGATAATCGATTACTGTTTGGGCGTTCAAGTCTTTGTAGTAAGTGAGAATGGTAACCTAGCTACGTGTGTTTCCCGGAATTGTGCGGGTTCTGAGAATTGTCCCTTTTGACGTCAAGTCCCTCGTAGCAGAAACATAGTGTGATTGGGACCTAAGTGGAGCTAAACCTAAAGCGGCGTAAATTTGTTTACATTTAGAAAATTTTAATGGTATAGTTGTAGAGATATTAGGTTAATTTTGGAAGCAGGCAAGACGAAAAATGAGCAACGTCTTCCCCGGGAATCGAAGCACGGATTTCTGGAATATGTTCCCAGCGTGCTAAACACTACCCTACGAAGGCATGTTAAGAAGGCGGGAGAAATACCTTATATAGTGAATTAAGTTAGTTGGTGCACCAGCTTCAGTGGCGCTTTGCTCAGTGGGACCATGTGACAAACCGCTGTAAAAGTTAAGTTAAAATTTTAGCGCGCTGAGAACTTTGTCTTTCCAACTGTTGGGCGAGTCGTTGGTTTTTTGCGGTACAAGCTCTAATTTTAATTGCAAAAAAATTTTTACTGTTTTTAGCTTTATTCGGTGTTTTAGTTTTATTTATTTATTTATTTTTTGTATGTTTTACAATTTTTAATGAAGGTGTTTTAAGTTTTTATGTAGTTTTGCTTTGTGCGGAGTGAGACCTTTAATGATTGAATGAGAAATATATCTCTAACGAAATTCGGGGAAGTAAGTTTGAATGAAGTGCAGGAAAAAATTCGTATGATTTAAATAGTCCGTGCAAGTCGTGTGGTGTCCACATTATATTTTTTTAGTTTCATAAGAAAGAATCCGAAAAATCAGTTTGGAAATGCCAGTTTTAAATGTTCTTAATCATATGCAAATTTTTTGATATGATTAGATAATAGAGATTAAAAAAATTTGAAAGTATTATACTTCTGACAGTACAGTTAACTGAGCTATTGTTTTCAAGAACTGTTACACTGAGTATTGAAATATATTCTCATTTCTTCTTCTTTTCCTCTCATTTTCTCTTCTTTGTACGAAGTAAAGGAAACAGTGTAATGTCAAAAATTCTCGGGTATCATAGTTCAACGAAAATATCCATTTTGACGGCTATCGAATGCAGTTTAACGATGTTCTTGTGTGACATCTGTACGTAAGAACAGAATAAAGGACTCTTTTTCCCAAAATGGGTTACAAGGACAAAAGGATTTAAAATGGATTCAGAAGAGATTATTTTCATGATGTCTGTACGAGATACGTACATACATACGTACGTGCATTCGCATAACTCAAAAACGAGTAGCCTTAGAACGTTGAAATTTTGTATATAGGACTGCTATAGCATGTAGCTGTGCACCTTAAGTTCCGGTTAAGGTTTTTATTAATTTAATTCCGGTTAAGGTTAGTTAATCTGCATGCGATAGTTGTAGAATAATCAACAATTTATAAGTTGTTTAAGTGCTGCTAAGCCTAATTTTTGTACCACAGCAGCCATATTTGTTTATATTATAAACTTAGCAGAACAGTGATTTAAGTCATTTTTTGCACCTTCAAGTGCCTATTTGCGGAGTGGAACCAAACGTAAACTTTCAGTTTTGTGTAGACCGAAAACTCTCCCTTCCCACTGGTCGAATCGCTTGTAGAAATTGTTATTTCAGTTGTTTAAACCGTATTTGGCGTTTTATATTTTTCAATTTTTAACAAATGCATTTTGAGGTTTTATGTATTGCCGCGAAATGAGAGCTGATTTAATTGAATGAGAAATCCATCTTTAATGAAATTCGAGAAAAGAAGTTTAAATGAAATGTAGCAAAAAATGCGTATAATTTAATATTCCGTACAAGGATGTCATGTGATCATGTGTCATGTGGTCAAGTCATGTGGTGTACACATCAGATTTTTAGTCCAAAGGGACTTGAATCCCGAAGAACTATTACTTTCGTTTTGGCATTTTGCGTCGGACTCATAAATGTCGGTTCACTTTTCAAACTGTTGCCACAAAATGTTAGAGTCCTGCATTATATTTGAAGAAATTAAATAATGAAAAATCTGCATAAATGTATGTATATTTCTCGTATTGTGATATTTTCACAATATCATCGAATTTTGAATAACGTAATCCTCCAACGAATATGAGCATGTGGAAGACCAAATTTGAAATTTGAAATTTGTTTTATGATCGATTTCCTATTTTTTAAAACTTTGACGAATTTTTGATTAACAAACTCAAGGATTTCAAAGCGAGCAAGCAATGGCAACGTTGTGCAGAAAAAACATTTTTATCTCCAGCGCGTGAGTCTCTGTATCGGAAATTCTAAAGATATGCTCGTTTTAAAACTATTTTGCGATATTGCTGTTGCACTGGATCTTATGGTTTAAGTGCGAGGAACATGATATTTAATAAAGAAAGGTAACACACAAAATGTTAAAAAACGCCCCTTTGGACGTAATTTAAAATCTGAAACATTTCAGATTTTTTTTTTTTTTATTTATTTATTTATTTTTTATTTACATGATAGATTTGTAATAATCGTAGCCAATGATAAATGCACATTTTGAGCCACCATTAATTATTCACGAGGTCTTTGGATTTTGAGAAATAACGAGACAACAAGAATTAGCAACAACAAGAATAAAAAAAAAATATAAATCTGGAAGCTTTCAGATTTTACATTACAAGGGACTTTTTTAACGTTTCGTGTGTTACCTTTTATTAATTAAATATCATATTTATTAATGTTTTTCGCACTTAAACTATAAAATTCAGTTCAACAGCAATATCGAAAACAAATTTTAAAATGAGCATATCTTTAGAACTTTCCATACATAGTCTCGCGCGCTGGAGATTATTTTATTTATTTATTTATATTTTTTTTCGTACAGTGTCGCTATTGCTTGCTTTGAAATCGTGGAGTTTGTTAATCAAAAAATCGTTATAGTTTTACAAAATAGGAAATAGCTAATGAAACAAATTCCAGATTCTAAATTTGGTCTTCCAGATGCCCATATTAGGAGAGAATTACGTTATTCAAAATTTAATGGCTCTAGGTACCGTTGTTTTATCACAATACGAGAAACATACATACATTTATGCAAGATTCTTCATTATTTAATTATTTTTAAATATACTACAGGCCGATAATATTTGGTGGCAGCAATCTGAAAAATGAAACGGACATTTAATGTTTTTGACGCAAAATGCCAAAACGAAATTAACAGACCTTCTGGGCTAACGACCTTTGGGATAACAAATTATTTTTTTAGATAACATTGCTACATTAACAGAATAATTCTACCTTTCTTAGAAATTATAAATTATTTTAAGGTAATATTATTAATGTTCTTTACTATCCGTTAACCAAATGGCGCCGAAGTTGAATGAGAAGTTTCGTTTTATTTATACACATTTCTCCAATAAATTCAACTACTCGCAAGTTATACAAATCAAACTGTAAATATTTAATAATTAAATATCCATACGTAAACATCTAATAATAATACGATAACAAAGCTCAATTAAAAATAAATTTTAAAACAGTTACAAGTCATCGAAATTCTATTAAGTTCAATGCTTGACAACTCGAAAGCGTGTTGCCAACGCAGGGTAACGAATAGATATAAATTAGCTACGAGACTTATGAAAGAAAACGATACTAAATTAATTAATTACATTTTCTTCGAAATATGATACTAAATTAATTAATTACATTTTCTTCGAAATATGATACTAAATTAATTAATTACATTTTCTTCGAAATACGATACTAAATTAATTAATTACATTTTCTTCGAAATATTTTTCTAAGCTAGTATTATATTACGTAGATAATTATATTTGCTTAGGAATTATAAACTATTTTCTTCGGTTAAGTAATTCTACGAAAGCTATTTTATAAACAAGCCTCATATTAAATAATTATATGACTACTCTAAACAAGGCTTAACATAATTTTATGAGAGGTATAAATAAAACAATCTTTTGATTATTAAAGTTTCAGGAATAATTATTTTCATTTTATAATAAAAAAAACTTTTTGCTTCAAATGCAAATACGGTTTTATTGTTGAGTTTATTATGGTTCTGTAGAATTTCTTCACGTTTTGATTGTCAGCTTACCAGCCCGTTGTTTTGCCCATGGCTCTTAATTCTTTATGTTCCTATAGCAACTTCTCCACATTTTGGTTGTTAACGTGCTACCCCATTGTTTTGCCTACTGACATCTTATAGATAACAAGAAAGTCTTAAAGATTCTGCCTGCAACCCAATGTGGTCATAATTTTCCCTATAGCGAATTCGTGGCCCTATTATAATGTATTTTTCCTGCCTTCTTAGCGTGTCTTCGTGGTGTAGTGGTCTACACGCTGGGCGTGTATTCCAGAGGTCCGCAGTTCGATTCCCGGCGAAGGGGTTTCTAATTTTTCATCTCTTCATCTTCCAAAAATTATCTAATGTCTCTAAAGTGGCGCCCGAACTAAAAGGGTGTTGGATGATGATTCTCCACACCCAGGATTTGGCGATTGGGTCTCCTAAAAACTCCAGTCGCCCTTTAAAAGGGGGCGTATATAAGGTATTTCTCTCGCCTTCTTAGCATGCCTTCGTGGTGTGGTGATCTGCACGCTCGGCGCGTATTCCAGAGGTCTGCGGTTCGATTCCCGGCAAAGCTTTGCTAATTTATCATCTTTCCTGCTTCTAAAAAAATCCTAATATCTCTACAAGTTTAATATAATTAGTTTCCAGAAACCGAAAACGTTGAATTTTTCTCAACAAAATTAATTTTAATTTTATTTATTACAGGATCCGTAAACGGAAGTGGTGTACCGAGTCTAAAGGAAAGTTTAGATTCATCAAAGTCTGATGAGACGGAGGTGAAAACAAGAATATCAGAACCTCTCGAACAGGTAATAAATTTAATTTTTCCCTGTAGAACGATGTTTTAATCTGATTTCCATTTACTTAGCAAAAACCGTCAGTTAAGGCATCAGTTTCAAAATGATTAAAAGAATTAATATAATGGGATTCATTAAGCAAAATTTAAGCAGGAATCAATTAGAGCTGAAAATAATAAAATTAATTGGAACTAGTTAAGTAAACACAGAAAAATGGAATTAATGTAGTAAAGATCAATGATTTCTAGGTTCATCTTCACACAGAATCTTCACATAGAAATCGTTACCAAAAATGGAATTAATATACTGAAGATTAACGATTTCTATGTGCAGATTCTGTACTCAGTTTATATCTTCCAAATATGAGAAATTACTGCTTGGAATTTCTTTTTTGGAAGATATAAACTGACTACAGAATCTTCACATAGAAATCGTTAATCGTTATCAAAAATGGAATTAATATAGTGAAGATTAACGATTTCTATGTGCAGATTCTGTACTCAGTTTATATCTTCTAAATGTGAAACATTACTGCTTGAAATTTCTTTTTTTTGGAAGATATAAACGGACTACAGAATCTTCACATAGAAATTGTTAATCTTTACCAAAAATGGAATTAATAATATATTGAAGATTAAACGATTTCTATGGGCAGATTCTGTACTCAGTTTATATCTTCCAAATATGAGAAATTACTGCTTGGAATTTCTTTTTTTGGAAGATATAAACGGACTACAGAATCTTCACATAGAAATTGTTAATCTTTACCAAAAATGGAATTAATAATATATTGAAGATTAACGATTTCTATGTGCAAATTCTGTATTCAGTTTATATCCTCTAAATGTGAGAAATTACTGCTTGAAATTTCTTTTTTTTTTTTTTTTTTTTTTGGAAGATATAAACTGACTACAGAATCTTCACATAGAAATTGTTAATCTTTACCAAAAACGGAATTAATATATTGAAGATTAACGATTTTCTATGTGCAAATTCTGTACTCAGTTTATATCTTCCAAATGTGAAAAATTACTACTTAAAATTTCTTTTTGGAAGATATAGACTACAGAATCTTGACATAGAAATCGTTAACCTTTACTAAAAATGGAATTAATATAACAAAGATTAACGATTTCTGTGTGCAAATTCTGTACTCGGTTTTATCTTCCAAATGTGAAAAATTACTGCTTTAAATTTCTTTTTTGGAACATATAAACTGACTACAGAGTCTTCATATAGAAATCGTTAATCGTTACCAAAAATGGAATTAATATAGTGAAGATTAACGATTTCTATGTGCAGATTCTGTACACAGTTTATATCTTCCAAATGTGAGAAATTACTACTCAAAATTTATTCTTTTTTCCTAAAGGAAATCAAAGATAAACCAATTCAGTTTTGTAAAGATATTCTCTAATGAAAAGCTCAACAGACTTTTTATTGCGTCGGATGGTAGAAAAGCCTTCAAGGTAATATGAATCATTTAAAATAAGTACACACACATAAAAAAATAGAAAAAAAATCTGAAAGCTTTCAGATTTTACATTACGTCCAAAGGGGCACGTTTTTTCACGTTTTGTGGGTTACCTTTATTTATTAAATACCATGCTCTTTGTACTTAAACCATAAAATTCAGTTTAACAGCAGTATCGCAAAATAATTTTAAAATGAGCAAATCTTTAGAATTTCCGATACACAGTCTCGCGCGCTGGAGATAGAAGTGTTTTTTTTTTTTTTCATTACAGTGTTGCCATTGCTCACTTTGAAATCGTTGAATTTGTTTGTCAAAAATTCGCTAAAGGTTTAAAAAATATGTAACCGATAATAAAACAAATTCCAAATCAAGGTTTCCCATATTGAGGACTACGTTATTTAAAATTGGATGGCTCTAGGTATCATTGTATTTTCACATTGCGAGAAAAATTCGTGCATTCATGCAGATTATTCATTATTTAGTTTCTTTAAATATAATACACGGCGATAATTTTTGGTGGCAACAGTTTGCAAAGTGAACCAACGCAGAAAGTGAAAGAACGCAAAATGCCGTTTTGTAACATATAGCCCTTTGGGTTTAACGCTTCTTTGGGGTAAAAAAAAAAAAAAAAAAAAAAAAAAAAAAAAAAAATCTGAAATGTTTCAGATTTTAAATTACGTCCAAAGGGGCGTTTTTTAACATTTTGTGTGTTACCTTTCTTTATTAAATATCATGTTCCTCGCACTTAAACCATCGCACTTAAACCAGTGCAACAGCAATATCGCAAAATAGTTTTAAAACGAGCATATCTTTAGAATTTCCGAGATACGGAGACTCACGCGCTGGAGATAAAAATGTTTTTTCTGCACAACGTTGCCATTGCTCGCTTCGAAATCCTTGAGTTTGTTAATCAAAAATTCGTCAAAGTTTTAAAAAATAGGAAATCGATCATAAAACAAATTTCAAATTTCAAATTTGGTCTTCCACATGCTCATATTCGTTGGAGGATTACGTTATTCAAAATTGGATGACTCTATGTACCGTTGTTTTATCACAATACGAGAAATATACATACATTTATGCAGATTTTTCATTATTTAATTTCTTCAAATATAATGCAGGACTCTAACATTTTGTGGCAACAGTTTGAAAAGTGAACCGACATTTATGAGTCCGACGCAAAATGCCAAAACGAAACTAATAGTCCTTCGGGATTCAAATCCCTTTGGACTAAAAAAAAAAAAAAAAAAAAAAAAAGCACCGTGAAAGATATTGCGACGAAATTTGAAGGAACATATAATGTAGATATGAAAGGTTTCCGAGCATTCTTTATGCTGACATAAAAGCCACCTTATATCATGCGCTGCAAAGGAAAAACAATGGCTAAATCTACCATAGAGAAGGCGTTTTATATATTAGAATTTAGCGTAACGAAATCCATTACGTTGCCCTGTAGAGATATTAGGAAATTTTTTGAAGTAGGAGACACGAAGAAATATGTAATGCCTCGTCGGGACTCGAACCACGGACCTCTCGAATACACGCCGAATGCGCTGACCACTACACCACGAAGGCACACTAAGAAAACGGGAGAAATACCTTATATACTCTCCCTTTTAAACGGAGACTAGGGGACCCAATCGCCAAGTCCTGTTGGCGGAGAATCATAATTACCCATCATTTTTAGTTCGGGCGCCACTGTAGAGACATTAGGATTTTTTTGAAGCAAGAGACGTGCGCCGGGACTCGAACTTTGGGCCTCTCGAATACGCACCGAGCGTGCTGTCCATTACACCACGAAGGCACGCTAAGAAGGCGGGAGAAATACTAGCGCAACATAAATTTCTTTCAGGGAAATCACTTCCAGACAGAAAATAAATCTAAGATCGTTTCAAGAAATTTTAAAGTATGGCTTGTTTGTGCGAAAGTGCTTGTTTGTGCTGCCCTGGTGGACGTTGCGTATGTGAAGAATAAACTGAATATATATTCGCGTAGATGCCTTCTAACTGTGAAAATCAATAACAGGAATAAGTATTCAATTTTAAGTTCTCCCAATTGAAGATTTTGCAGAAATGGTTGACTTGATTAAATTCAAACTGAAATTATTACTAGGGCTACAGCTAGGTTATGCGCAACTTATCACGTAATGTATTCTTCATTCTAAATTCTGCGAACGTTTCTCACCTGAAATCTAAAAATTTTGTCATCACAAAATTTTTTTTCTCTCGATGCTGCCACGCATGTTGCATCAGCTCTAAGCCGATCTTGATTGCCTCAACATCGAAATGAGCTTGACAGAACAAAACAAAGCTTCTCCACTGTAGGCGTGGTTATAGAATGAGTCATGTGACACACAGCTACTGCCTACATCGCTACCCGAATTGATGGGGAAAACCATATCTGAAGCATGGACATATTCTTTCAACTGTCATATCCATATCTTTCACTGAAGTAATACTTCTTTTGTCATAACACTTTCTTAATTCAGAGTAAGGTTTTCTGCCTCACTGTCTCTTTTTGAGGTATACTAGCGGATAAGCCCGCCAGATGAGCGGGCTGTTGCAAAAGCAAAATGTATAAGTTCTACGTATATTTGAATTAAAAATGTATAAAAACATTTCAATATTAATGAAATCAGTTCATTCTTTCGATGCAACAACCAATTCGTAATTAATTTTTTGTTGCCAAACCAGGAAACAAAAACTTTTGACACATAAGGTTAATATGTATATGTATGACGTCATGACTTAATGTAATATAACAACTTTTGCTCAATATCAATCAAAGAATTAACGTTTCAATAAGATACTGTGTTAATGATACTAAGCTGAAACAAAAAAAGTCATTCTTTTTTTACGTTAGAATACGACCTTATGTAATAATAAGTAAAAATCAGTCTGAAAGGTTTCAGATTTTATAATTACCCGCACAAAGCGGCTTTATTTAACGTTTTGTGTGTTACCTTTTTATCGAGTTCTTCGCACTTAAACCATAAAATTCAATTCAACAACAATATCACAAAGTAATTAAAAAAGAGCATATCTTTAGAATTTCCATTACACAGTCTTGCGCGCTGGAGATAAAAATGTTTTTTTACCCCCTTACAGTGTTGTCATTACTCGCTTTGAAATCCTGAAGTTTGTTAATCAAAAATTCGTTTAAGTTTTACAAAATATGAAATAGATAATAAAACAAATTTGAAATTTGTTGATCAAAAATTCGTTTAAGTTTTACAAAATATGAAATAGATAATAAAACAAATTTGAAATTTGTTAATCAAAAATTCGTTTAAGTTTTACAAAATATGAAATAGATAATAAAACAAATTTGAAATTTGTTAATCAAAAATTCGTTTAAGTTTTACAAAATATGAAATAGATAATAAAACAAATTTCAAATTCCAAATTTGGGCTTCTAGATGCCCATATTTGGGTGGAAACGTTAAGTTATTGAAAATTGGATGGCTCTAGGTCCCGCTGTTTTATCACAATGTGAGAAACATGCATACATTTAAGCAGATTCTTTATTATTTAATTTCCTTAACTATAATACAGGGCTCTAATATTAGGTGACAACAATTTGAAAAGTGATACCCCGTTTATTGTGTTTCGACGGAAAATGCCAAAACGAAATTAATAGCCGCTCTAGGCTAACTCCCTTTGCGCTAATAATACATTTAAAGTTTGGCACTGCTATTTTTACTTCCTATTTTGTAAAACTTACAAATATTTCATTAACAAACTCTACGATTTGAAAGCCAGCAGCAGCAATACATTTCGAAATAGAGCATTTTTATCTCAAACGCGCAAGATTGTTGTTGCCACTCGGAAAAATGAATGCGAAAATTAGCATTTTCAGAGTTTTCAATTAATGTCTAGGCTGATTAAAGTCGTACGGAGATAAGAATGGCCGAAATTGCTTCGCACGAATTTTTGCAATCGGGAATGATGTATTTAATGTTTGGCAGTGCTACTTTTATTTCATATTTTGTAAAACTCAGAACGTTTTTTTAAGAAACTCTACGATTTGAAAGCGGGCAGTGCAAAACTTTTCGAAATAAAGCAGATTTGTATCTCCAGCGTGCGAGACTGTTGCCACTCCGAAAAATGAGAACGGAAATTAGCATTTTCAGAGTTTTTAATCAATAGCTCAGATAATTAAAGTCGTACGAAGATGATGAGAATGGTCAAAATGGCTTCCCACGAATTTTTCCAATCTGGAGAGGGGGGGGGGTTACCTCTGTTGAAACTCAGCTTCTCGCCGTTCCGGAGGAGATAATGCCACAAACAAACAACATTTCAGATAGAAAAGAAATATAAATTTCAATTTTTACAAAATCAGCTTATTGCAATCTGTTCCACCTTTTAATGTTTACCACATAATTTTAAATCACTGCATATATGTAAAATATATATACCTGTAGAGTCATTAGGTTAACTGGAAGCAGAAAAGATGAAAAATATGCAACCGCCTTCGCCGGGAATCGAACCACGGACCTCTGGAATACCGGCCCAGCGTGCTACCGTTACACCACGAAGGCACGCTAGGGAAGTGGGAGAAATACCTTATATACCTACCCACATATACATTATTAATAATTATACTACTCTTTAATAATTAATTAATATTAAACTCTTAGTTAATATTAAACATTGAAGAATCTTGTATGTATGTATGAATGTGCGTATGTTTGTTCCACGATATGTATGTACTATATATATGTTATACGATATATCACTTCCACGATATAATATATATATTTCCATGATATTGTTGCGTGCGTACGACATCCGATGAAGAGTGAATAAAATTTATTCTTATCACAACAACAAATAAAACAAAATACTGAAATTTTCTCAGAGATAACCGTACAATATCGCAATATTTCACAGTAGCTTTATTTTAAATTATTAAAACGTTTAATGGAACTCACTTCAAAACAAACACAGTGAAAGCTAATCCTATCTCACAGCGAATTCGCCGCAATCAATAACAGCACCACGTAAACAACTGAACTGAGATATTTTACCCCAGCTTTTATAAGCTTTTTAATCCTGCATGAGAATATTCTGGTATTTTCTCAGTTTTTCTGGATAGCAAAAGAGTACAATTACGAAATATTTATTTATTAAAATGTTAAATGCGCATGCTCCTGTATTTTAATTTTTCCGACCTAGCTCTCTTTTCAAATAAGTCTCGTGTTGCTTTCGCAGGAACATAAGACAATTTTAATTACAAATTCTACTAAAAATAGCTAAATAAATACAAAAACAGTAATATTATATATGCTGTTCCACATATGCATTTCCATGATATATATGTTGTTTCACTATATGCTCCACGATATGTACGTGTGTGTATTTGTTCCACGATATATTTACCGAAACTTGCTTCAAATTAAAAAAAAAAAAAAAGGCTTAGATTTAAAAAAGAAATAAGTTGCCGGTCGACAAAGCGTAAGATTTTTGTTTTTAAAATTTCTTCAAGAAACTTAGAGACTTTGAAGGAATATTTGCCACTGCCCGAAATAAAAATATTTTATCTTCCACAGGAAAGTATTTTGCCATTTGGCAAAGCTTAAGATATTTAATTTTCTTTCAAATACAACTCGTCTGTTATCGGTTAACGAGCAATAAAAGCAATAAAAACATCTCGTAATGTCTATTATTATTAGTTAATAGCTGGACTCAGTAAAATAATTATACTTTTTTTCTATGATAACTATTTTAAGCGGCTGGGCGTAAGTGGCTAGTGTATGTATATTTATACAGTGAGCGTGTATATATATATATCTATATATATATATATATAGATATATATGTGTGTGTGTGTGTAATGAAAGCACAAATTTTGGAAGCACTATGCGCAGAAAACATGAATGATTTGATTTAGAATGCGGCACAAATTTGCTTTAAAATTTTCGGTGAAACAGAACTTTTCCCATGATGCACTGTGAACATAGCTTAACAAACTCGTGTAGAATTTTTCATAAATTAGAACTGGCCGAAGAATGTAATGACAGAACACTTTTGGAGACACTGAAATACGAAAACTGAAACGTAGATGCGTAGAGATACTAATTGCGTAGATACTTGAAGCTTAGAGCGTCCATCCATTTTTGAAGAAGGAGCAGTCGAGCCGGATTAAATTCCTTTTATTTATTTAAATTCACTTGTGGCCACAATTCACTTGGCACTCTACTCGTGCCTATTAAAGAGCATTTTCAATTTTGATATTATTCCCATAGAAGCGAAAGTAGCAGCACACACATAATTGCAGAAAGACGTCTAGCCAAGAGGAAAGCATAAGCAAAAGTGACGCATCAGTTCATAGAAAGAAGGGAGAGAGTTAAAAGTTTAAGTTTTTTTTTTAGTTTTACTTTGCAATTTGGTGATGGGTCAAGAGGCATCTGCATTAAGGGTTACGTAAGATCGCATGATTAATTTGAATGACACAGTTTAGACTTACAGCGCTATTTTTTAGGACAGATAGATGAAGTTCCCAAATGAAATAAAAAATAAAAGAGGTTATAGTGACTTAAATTTAGAAGTTTGCTTTCATATTTTTTATTTTACATATATATATATGTGATGTACTAGCTTTTGTCCGGAATAAATAGATTGGTGAAGAATCATAGATGTAGTCGTAGCTTAAATTATCAGACGATAAGTTTAAAAAACAGGATCCATTTATTATTGGTCAGGAGAAACAGCAGTTACAAAATTCATATCTCCGGAGTAAAATAAAAAGAATTACTAATAACTTTTTGTATGAAGTTTACTGCATCGTTACATTAAAGAAAAGACCCCGATATTCCTTTGCGAGTCCTTTTATAGCCTCTGGAAAGGCGGAGCTTCCAAGAAATGACGTCAGCCTCTTCACCCATTCCAGTTCCCTTTAAATATCTCCAGAACATTCTATAACTGTACGTGAAGAAAAGGCGGGAAAAACAACTTGACTACGGGGCTGTGGATTTAATTCCACGTACTTTCAAATAAGAGAACGTCGCCATTAAAAATGAAAAGAACATACAGTTAGAATTTTAAGTGTATTTTTGCCTATGGAATTTTATTATATCTATATCTATATCTATCTATCTATATATATATATATATATGTCATAATTACGGGGAACGTAGAAGAAGAATCAGCTTGCAGTCGTTTTGGCTAAGAGTGAAGGCTTATAGGCAACTATAACAAAACATAAACTTGACGAAATTCCCAGTCTTTATTTCCTCGCATATACATAAAATCATCTCCATAGATGTTTATCCAATCATAATGAAATCCGAGACATTTCTGTGATTCAATTACAACGAAAACACGATAAATTTCTAAGTACATTTATTCTTAATATTAAGACGCAGGCAGTTTAGACCGAAAAGCAAAGCGAGGAGCTATTAGCAAGGTGGAAACTATAAAAAGAGTGACGCAGTTTATTTTTGAGCGGTATTTGTACAAAGTACATGCAGAAAGTACTCTAAGCTATGATTGGTTAATTTGAGGATGTTATATAATCATGGAAGATTCTCGAATTTGGGAGAACAGATGAATTTAGAGGAAGAGCACAAATTTAGAATGTTAATTTTGAAGTCGCCAATTATTTTTTAACCATTTGCGGCACAGTGTGTCCTGTCTCGACACACTTGAAAATTTCCTTCTGTACGCACAGAAAAATTGAATGAAAAAGGATTTATAGGTTGCTATAGGTTACTCTGAACCTTCTTTACTTATATTAGATGGCAGCCCAACACAAACCAGTCCATATACTTTAGCCATATTTAGTTTATTAAGACCCTCATTTTTCAAAGAAATCTTACAGATTTTTTTTAGGGTATAAAAGAAATTGTTTGAAAAGAAATTGCTATGTTATTTTTTTTGACTGTATGCTAATCTTATTATTCTATATCAGTTTTAAATTTTTACTTTGAAATCTTGCCTAAAATCAAACGGCGAACCCTAGGTGTACCCAGACCGGGCTCACCGATAATCTAGGACAAATAAAAGTCTGTATTCTTTGTTTCTCTGCATCTCATCGGTCAGTTCATTGACAACAATGTTCGTTTCAGCACTCTTTCCGAAGCTGTATTCAATCAGTGGGCCCACTTTGGGCACACCCACAGAATTAAAACGATAAGTGCTATCTTCACAAAATTTTACTTGTGTATTCCTCTAGGCCTAATTAGACTGCCTACCTTTTTTTTTTTTTAAATCAAACCCTTAGCATGCCGGAAAGGGTTAAAACAGCTATTGTATTTTGTTATATCTTAGATATATATAGTTATACAGTATATATATTTATGGATCCATAAATTAAGTTTATTGAATTATGAAGATGTTAAAAAAGTATATACACATATACTTTTATATATACGTATTTTTCCTTCCCCTCTTTAATTTAGATATTAAAAAAGTCTCTAGAAGAACTAAGGATATTTGACGCTCTTTGGGTTTTAGACAAAGACGAGAAATTTCATCAGGTAAGTTTTTTTCTTCATTTATTGCTTAGCAAAATTATTAAAAATTTGCGAAAGCTACCTCTCTCAAGATATGTTAAATTTAGATCTAATTTACAGATTATTTATTAAAATTGAGGTGTTGTCTCAGTAAGATTTAAGGAATGCAAACTTTTAATGAAATATAGCTACCAATTTAATAATGCAATACAGATGTTAAGTATTTTTCCGTGCACATAATATCAAGTTACTCTAAGAGTACTGAAAACTAAAACTGTTACAGAAATACTCTTCGGATATTTTTATGTATTACATGATCCTAGAATTTACAGGCATCAAAAGCTTAAAATTCATACGACGATAAATTTTTATTAAATTTAATTTTAGTGACAGAGTTCTTTCCGGCTAATTAATTAATTAATTAATTAGTTTACCGTTTCGTTTCATCTGCTGCTTCTCTTTTATAAATCTGAATTTTTTTTTAAAAGCAGACATTATTGAGTCTAAATCACGTATTTATTATGTTAATATGATTTTTGTCAAAAATTATTTAACAGAATTTCGTATCAAAATCGTACGACAAGATTTACGATCAATATTGCTTAGCTGCTGATTAGATTTTTTAGGCAACACAGACGGTTTGGAAAAGAGATATATTCTTTCTAAGTCTGCTTACGGTAATAAAAATAGATGTTATCAGTAAGTTTATTAAACTGAGAAAATATTAAACGATTAAAAAGCTAGCGGCCGAGCGATAAAAGTCTCTGAACACTCGCAGTTTCCCTTAGAAAGTCCACTATGAATGCAGCCCTCCCTACCGTGTAGTGCCTTAGCAGGTAAATAATAGTAATAATGCACTACTTATAAATTGTAAAATCCCATTAGAAGAAGAGATGTATATGTTATTGTGAAAGACCGAAATTGGAGAATGTCGACTTTCACCGGAGAATGTCAACTTTCACCAAATACATCGATGAAAGATCGAATATTTCTTTACATTCTTGTACATTCGGACCCTCACCGGTGCATGTCGACAATCACAGATATGCTCTGGTGTAGGTTGAAAAGAGAGGAGTATATGTACACGCTGCCATTCCAAAAGGAAGTGTTCCACAAATAAATGCAGTTGTAAAAGCAAGGGCCTCTTGTGCAATTCAAAGTGTCATAATAGTTTAAGTTGTTGCAATAAATAAGATTTAAATCACCCTAGGTGTACCCAGACCGGGTGTAATTTGGTAAGTTTATAACTTCTATTATTTTCCTTTCTCATTTTGAATGTACTGTGTATTTTAAGTTCTTATGTTCTTAAGTTCTTATTTTGAGTTTCAAGTGCGTTTTTTCGCGAATGAATTACGGAGAAGGAAATATAATATTCTTATATGTTCAACATTCACCATTAGTACATGGTGAATGTCGACATTCACCGGTGTAAGTCAGAAATAAGAGTATTTGGAAAATATTTGGGACATACACCAAGCGACTATGTGAATGTTGACATTCACCGGTGAAAGTCGACATTCTCCAGATTTCGGTGTTTCACCGTAACATATATACAAGGCCCCCCCACTACCATTGACGATGTATTAGTCTTCTTTCACGAAAGTACGAAATAAGAATTCTCATAAAATTATTATGAAGAAAATAATGTTGTGGAATTTCGAAGTGAACAAATGAAGAAATTCAACTTAAAATTCAACAGAAAAATATAAAATTTGTTGCTGACCAGTTCTATTAAAGCGTTGTTGTTACCGCTAGTCTTTCATTGGAAGTTGCCGTTTTCTTACAACTTCATTGGAGGCGTGAAGAAATCTGTTCCATATCAAACCATTCTTTTTACAGTCAAGTGCTTCCTCTTCAAAGTATAATTACTACAACTTTCACTGAAAGTGTTAGCTATGAAAGCAGTGATTTGATAATGTTAGATTGAGTTTCAACGAAACTGCAGTCTGCAATAAATTTCAAGTTCTTGTGCCAATTTTTTAATTCAATATCTTGAATTATTTTCTCTTACGAATTCATATTTTGAATACTACACTCATGTCCATAAATTAAGGATAATTCGGAGTCACGCGGAAATCGAACTCTAAAATAAATATATCACCTGTAAAATCACTACACACATCTTCAAGAATCATATGCAAATTTCAGGAAGTAACCAAATGACACCGATGGTACGTCACAATGACGAGAGTGTAAGAGAGTTATATATAAGGAATACAGGTAAAGAAGTAAAATTGTTCGCAGGCGCTTTATAAGCATTTCAGTGCAATAACCGAATAGTTATGACACAGAGGACGCATTTGGATGATTTTTTACGTGGTAGAATTATCGGCCGTCTGAAATGTGGGCGTACCCAACTGGATGTATCAGACGAACTTTGAATTGGCCAGAGTGTCATCTCCAGGCTTTGGCAACGATTTCAAGATGATGGTAATTAGTAGACGTTACAGCACAGGTCGCCCCAGAGTTACAACGCCGAATGAGAACCGGTATTTGGCAGTTACTGCCAAAAGAAACAGGCGGAGCACAGCCTCAGACCTGTCTCGTCAGCTCTCTTCAGCACAATTTCAAGGCAGACAGTGTACAGACGCTTAGGGCAGATTGGTCTATATACTCGTAGACCTGTCAGATGCGTTCCACTTACTGCAACTGTCACCTGCGGTAAGCCTGGAGTAGAGACCATGTATTGTGGACACCGCAACAGTGGGCTTGTATGATGTTTTCCGACGAGTCCAGGTTTAGCTTGCAGTCTGATTCTCGCCGAACTTTCATATGGAGAGCTCCAGGTACCCGTTACCACCAAGAAAACATCATTGAACGACACCGTTACGGTGGCGCAGGAGTGCTCGTTTGGGATGGAATTATTCTGGGTTCCAGAACTGACCTGCATGTTTAAATTGGAACCATGACAAGCCAAATCTATCGGGACGTCATTCTGGAACAACAAGTACGTTTGTTTCGGGGCGCCATGGGCGCACAATTTGTGTTTATGGATGACAACGCCCGTCCTCACCGTGCAAACATCGTAAGCGAATGCCTTCAATCGGAGGATATAACCCGTATGGACTGGCCAGCATTCTCACCGGACTTGAATCCAGTAGAGCACGTGTGGGACATGCTTGGCCGACGAGTTGCAGCCCATCAACCTCCTCCTACATGTCTACCGGAACTTCGGAGGGCATTACTTTTTGAGTGGTGTAATATCCCCCATAATATGCCCCATGATCGATAATTTGATACTCAGCATGCCTTGGCGTTGTACGGACTGTATTGCATCGTCTGGGAGACATATAATGTATTAACAATCATTTCAACCATGTAATATTGGTTTTTTGTAAATAGGTTTTTTTTAATTTGCTCCAGGGAGAAAAAATCGCTAATTTTTTTTAATAATATCAAACATATAGCATCTTTTTATGCTCTTTACCTTTTGTTTAATAAATAAGCTTTACAAATAATTCAAATTTGTTTTGCTTCTAACTCTTCCTTTGCCTGATTTTGCATTATCCTTAATTTATGGACATGAGTGTATTTAACTTACTAAATGAGATTAAAGACAAATTTAGGTATTTAAGCTTGAAATGATTATTGATAATCATAAATCGTTTTAACGTCATTGTATTGAAATAATTGATATCAAATGTGACGTAAGTGTAAAGAGAAAGTCGTAATAACGATTTACATGTAATGAAGTTATATTTAATATCATCTGCCAAACAGTGTCTGCTATACTTATAGAGTGAAGAAATATGAAATATTGTAAAGAAAGAAAAGATTAGCAAACGTAGGGCAAATTTTATTAGTTTATTCCAAATATTAGTTTAGAACAAAATAATCAATAAGACCCATGGAACATCACTAACAGGTAACGGTAACGCTATTGTTCTTGAACAGTTGGCGATGCCAAACAGCAGCTTAATAAAAAAAATCATTGCAGCAAAGTTTTGTGGGTTATTAGACTTTCCAGAGGAGTGCAAAAGTTAAACAGATTTTCATATTAATATAATTTACAAAAGTTAGCTTTTGGAGAAGGCATATAACGGGATATATTTGATTAAAGAATGCATTGATTGCCAACAGGTGTCCACTGGTTAAGAGAATAGAATTTATTATTATTGATCAGCGGATTTTCGGAATTTGGCACATTTTTATACATTTAACCCTCTTAAGGCTATCTTCAGGAGTTGTTTAGAATATCAATAATATCACTGAAAGTTGACTTGAGTGAATTTGTTTTTCGCATAAACGTCTCCAAAATTCTCTTTAACACGCATTATTCTTAAGACTATAAAACTTCAGGATATAAACGTTTTCCTTAAAAGTATATTAAAAATGGCATTTTGAATTTCTTTGTATAATCTTAGATTTGCTTTTACACTGGAACGTCTAAGACGCCGTGCAGAAATGTTCCACATCGACTCAAATCATACCATAAGATCCTCAAGATGTGAAAGTATAGGGCACGTGAGAAAAATCATTCAAACTAGGAATTTAAAGTATAAAAAGACACTTTATTGTAAAGGTAGCTCCGGGCACAACTGGAGAGGAGACAGAAAGGTTCATGTGATACGCGCCTTGCAAGAAAAATTCAACATTTAGAAGGGGATATGATCACTCCTGACTGCGATACAGGAATTAATACGTCTGTATGTGCTGAGGAGAAGACTGTCAAGGAACTTTTTTGAAAACGTTACCCATTCCTCTTTCAGTGCCATTTTCAGCTGCAGATGCGTTGCTGGGATTTGGTCACGTGTTGCACACGTCTTCCGAGGAGGTTCCATACGTGTTCTTTGGAATTTCTGTAGGTCAATCCATACGCTGGATATCATCCTCGCCAAGAGGCCCACCAGCGGCCGAGCGGTAAAGTCGCTGAACACTGGTAGTTCGGTCCGAGGTTCGAATCCCGCGAACGGGCTGGCTGCATGGGCGTTTTCGTGGTTTTCCCCATGTGTAACGTGTATACGAGCCAGTTTCCCTTAGAAAAGTCCTCCACGAAGGCATCCCTCCCGTTCGGCAGATAGCCCTCGAGGCTTTGCCATAATCACACACACACACACACACACACACACATCCTCGCCAAGAGCTCTGCTACAGCTTTACTGTGCAAATATTTGTATTCCACGAAGAGGAAGCTTCTAGGCAAAAGAACCTCAGTACAATAGCGGACACCAGGTGATTGAATCTCTTTTAGAGATGTGGAGTTCAGTCCATCTACAAAACACGGCGCCTCCTAAAGAACTCCAACACCTCCCAAATGGTTCCTTTCGATGATTTTGGAGGACTGTTTGCATTTTGCCTTCTGTCTTCAGATGTGTATTCTTCTAGAATCGCTCGACAGACTAAATCAAATCTCATCCGTAAGCAGCACTCGCACTTCTGTTGTATTCATTTCCTGTGTTCCCGGCAGCACAGAAACCGGAGTGTTCGATGGGTAAGCATTAATGGCACACACCGTGCTGGTCGTCGTGTATATAGATCACATTTGTGCAGCCTCCTGGCGATGGTAAAACGTGGCCACGATAACCAGTTGCATGAGCCTTGATATTTTCCTCTGTTTGCTTCCTGTCCTCGCCATTAAGACAATATACCTGTCGTCCACCGTCGTTGTTGCTCGTGGACGAGCACTGCTAAACGCTCAAACAGCTTCCTAACTTTTGAAATGTTCCACAGGTCTGTGAAACGATGTTGCGACTGTATTTTTCCGCTACACGTTTTAGACTTCGTCCTTGTTCCAGCTTCCCAATAACACGATTTTGGGTAAAGTTATCCAGACCGATGTGTCCTGGATTGCTTGTTGGCCATATGACATGGTAGCAGCAACTCGACGTCGACGAAGCCGAACACCGTGCAAGAGTTTTAACGGATTTCCAAGCGTGCACCGCTCATACCAGCGGTTTTCAGACTAACGCGTACCATCTAAACAAAAATTGGAAACCTTTTGTACCACCACTACAAAGTACTACTACCACCACCACTCTTGCATAAAGCTCAGATCGCATAAATTTACGAGTGTTAGAGAAAAACCTCAATCAGGATGGTTGAGATTTTAATTTTTAAGGTTAAAAATACTTTGTTTCTTTGAGTACCACCTATTTATCGCTTGAGTACCACCGGTTGAGTACCCATGCTTTATACCATTCCCCTGAATCATATGCCATCATGTCCTATCGTACCGGTTACAAACCTATTTCCTGCTTGGTCTCTCGGTCCATTCTGTTGCCTTTTCCTACTTTTATGCTAATTTTTTTATGTTGTCTTCACGATTTGCTCACCGTTGGTTGTACAAAACACCTTACAAAGATGATTGGAAACGAATACGAAAAGCATATTGAGATAATCTGTTTTTATCATTCCACGGAGAATTCCTAGATAGCCGCTAGCCTAAACAAACGTTGTGGTCCATGGTCCAAAGGCTCAACTTGTAGATACATTGGTTATTTAGAATAGATAGATAAAAAAATGAGCAATGCCCTCGCCGGGAATCGAACCATGGACCTCTCGCATACGCACCGAGGGTGCTGACCACTACACCACGAAGGCATGCTAAGAAGGCCGGAGATATACCTTATAAACTCAGACTAGTCCTCGAAGACTTAGAAGGTAGTTACCACCGATATAGCGCATAGGTCTGGAGGAAAATGTTATGAAAGCAAAAGGCACTTAAATTTCAGGATCGAAGAGAAATAAAATTTCCACTTTACTAGCTTCTTGATGCATTGCTCATGCAGCTTTGCTACATTTGATATATACTCTTTCGTCAGCATTATACTACAAGGCGTGGACTACAGAGGATGTTCACACATTTTTTAGACGATGTATATTGTATTCACAAAACTAAATTACATAAAATTCTTGTGTTTTAAATGTTCTATTTGACATCCCTTATTCTGAACTATCTATCGACACTGCAATTTCCAGGATAATAATGCCTTTTGAAGTGGCAGAAAAGGTATTCTATCCCCTTCCTCCCGAACAACTAACTTTCCAGAGTCCTGTTAGGGTTTTGGGACAACATTTGGATAATACAGTTTTTAAAAGTCCGAAAGCACAAAATCCATAGGTGACACATCGAAAGATTTAGTAGGGATATCAGTGAAGGGTATGGCCTTGATACCAGTATTTTGTTCCATTCCTTTTAGGAAATTTACAGTTGATTTTGATGTGTGACTGCTAGCTTTGTCCTGATGAAGTCTCACAGATGGATGGCACTGTGGGTAAAGCGATGGTATTTCATTCAGAAAAATTGGCGATAAAATAGGTTCCTGATAGTATTTGGAGTTAATCTTGACATTTTTTTTGCACTCTCTTTATTTTTAACTTGCCATTATAAGAAAAACCAGCAACAATCATGAATTCCTTAGAAAAACTTTCTTTCGATTCTTTGAACCATGTACTTAAATTTTTTCCTCTCCTTTTATGATAATAAATGGCTCTTTTTTTGCTACAATCATTTAAATACACCCATGCTTCATCTATTGTGACAATTGTTTTCCATTTTTCTTTGGATAAGTGTTTCTCATATAGAATTCTGCAGCGTGTCCTGCGTTGAGCGATATGCTTTGGAAGAAGACGATGCACATTGCGTTTTTTCGCTTTCTTAAGATTTAAATCAACGTTTATCATTTTATTTACAGTGGACACCGAGCATTTTAATGATTTTGTAACTGTCCTTTTCACTAGGGAGATTTTCTTTTAACATTAAACAACGTACCTTTCCAATAGTCGAAGATGTCCGTTTTTTTCCTTGGATACTTGTTTGGAGTTTTTGTCCCACTTGAGGCTCTAATTTGACGTTTTTTCCTTTCTTGTTGATGATATTACCTATCGACGCTTTAGATATCACAAAACCATGACTCTCACATCGTTTTTGGATAACGGAGTATGCATATTTCTCTTCGGAAAGAGCGTAAATGTAGCCTTCGAACCACAGTTTTGTTAAATTCACTATTTTGAATAAAAACAAAACTTTCAAGCCACAGACGATAATTTTGACTTTTAAAAACATAGCAATTACTTCTTTTGCAGCAAACGATTTTTTATTACCGCTTACCAAAATCGGCTAAAAAATGTGCGAACAGCCTCTGTATAATGTGTTTTTTACCAGTTAGAAATTATTATCCAGAATTATTTAATGCTGGTCAAATCGATAAATAAATACAATTGTTTCTTTGCTATAAATTCAACAAGTATGAACCGCTGAAAGGTTTTTAAACATCCAAGGCATATCTGATAAAGACACGTACAACACGTATCAAACGTTGACTCCTTAATTAGTTCACTTTTTTATACTTTTCAGGTGACCTTCACGTGCAGTCCTGGATTGCCATGCGATCTCATACTGACGTCACTAGCTACTAATGGAATAGGGATGTGTAAAGGGTCGTCTCTAGTGTTGGTATTCTATTAAATTTTCAATGCTAATCTTTTATTTCATAATTAGGAGTAAACCGTAATAAATTAACTTTTTAATAGCAATATAAGCTCAAAGACAAGGAAATTAAATATGAAGCCAGATAAAATTTTCAGATTTTCAGAGGGGGTTATCTTTTTTATGCCCCCCCCATTTTCTCAAGAAGTTTTGAGGGCAGTTTGGAACTAACATGAACACTTTCCCTTATATTTAAGTCAGTGGTAGGCTGTTCCAAAAGAAAGTGCCTATTTTTGTGAAATCAAAATACTTAAAAAATACAAGTCTGTTATGTTTAGGATGTTTCAAATATGCTAAAGGTTTACTAAATTTATTTTTGTATGTAAAGGTGTTCCAAGATATTTATTTTATGTTCCAGAATTTAGTATCTATTTTGGCTCATTTAAAAAAAAATATCTTTACTTTTGAAATTCCATTATAATTACGAGGGTAAGTTGAAAAATAAGTTTCCCCTGTCGACTGTGGTCAGAGTTGTGTATGAAAGTCAAAAATAGAATGAGACATTAAAGATATGACATACCTTTATTTTTCCACATAGGTACCAAGTACATTGAGACATTTGCCATATCGCTTGATAAGCTTCAAAAAGCCCTCCAGGAAAAAATCAGGGCTTTGCATATGGAAGAAGCGTTGACCGGGTTGTTTCACTTCAGTATTGCTTCCAAAGCGCCTTTCCCCGAGATTTTTCTTCAAAGCCGGAATCAGATGGAAGTCGCTCGGTGCGAGATCAGGACTGTATGGCGGATGGTGTAGGCGCTCCCAACCAAGAGTTGAAATATGGTTTTGAGTTGCCGTCGCCGATTGTGGTCTGGCATTGTCATCCAACAGCAGAACGACAGATGTGAGAAGGCCAGGCCGCTTTTTCCGAATCGCCTCTTTCAGTTTGTGAATAATGTTGGGTGAAAAGCTCCTGTCAATAGCTATTGCTTTTAAATAATTTAGTTCTTCATCAAGATGAACAATAGCTATTGACAGGGGCTTTTCACCCAACATTATTAATCAAGCAGTTAAAAAATTCTCATCTCAACACACTAAAAGGCACACTCTTGTTTTAGGAGATTATAAAAATTCTGTTGTCATTCCCCTCTTTCCATCACTTAGCTATAAAATAAGTTGCACATATTTTACAGAAATTTAACTTTCGAGTTCGTCTATTCCTCCCATCAATAAAATTCCGGGTTCCATACTCAAAGGACCCCATTCTCAGATATGAATTCCTGGGGTATTTACAGGATTCCTTGCCAGTGTGGTTTGATTTACATTGGTCAAACTAAGAGAAGAGAGACTTAAAATTTTCGCGTCAAGGAACATGAGGTGTATGTTAGAAAAAAGGAAACACAGAAGTCTTCTGTTGCTCAACATTGTTGGTCCGAAAATCACACTTTCAATTTTTCTGCTGCCAAAATTATTCAAAAAACCTCTTCCATTGGAGAACTGGATTTCCTAGAGGCATTTCACATTCAAAAAAATCTGTCTCTTCTTGTTAACGATCCTAATTCCAATCCATCTTTGCCTTTGGCCTTTAAAGAAATATAATGTTTTAGTTCTGGTTTCACCAGCAGATGGCGACACTTTCTTATTCTTGTCCATGCTTTCTTATCTTATCTAATCATTATTTCCTATCTTGTTCATTTGCGGTTTTGCAGCTGAGGATGGTGGTTCGGTAAAACCATCGAAACTAGTCCTGCGAAATTTTTGTAAACATAACGCTGAATTTTGTTGTTTGACTTCTGAATTAATGAACTGCATTAGTTTAAAAACTGAAAATTAGGAAAATTGATGTATCGCAAATTTTACTAAAAAATTACTAAAAAAATTAGTAATTTTTAATCGAGAGAATATATAATTGCATTACAAATTTTTAGAAGCATTTCACTTTCGTAAAAATCTTTCAGTTTTGGTTAACGATCCCAATTCCAATCGATCTTTATGTTCAACTTTAAGGAAATTACTTCACAATAGTTTTCGTTTCTCGTCAATAGATGACGCCAGTAATATGACTTCCTTTACCTTATCACTGGCTTTTCTGAAGCTGAAGAAGAAGGTTCTACAGGGTGTTCCACTCAAAATAGGCCCCGGGAAAAGTGTGATAGAAATATTATAACAGAAGGAAATGAAGCCAAATTTTTACATACCATGCTTTTATGTTTGAGAAATGAAAGTGCATTGGAAGAAATGCTGGAAGTGACCTGTATACACAGTTAAACACTGTCTTGCTTTTCGTGTATGTAGATTACATGTGGTAGAGTGATGAAGCGTGGTTCCACTTGTCAGGATAACGTGAACTAGCGAAACACACGTTTATAGAGTAGTGACAACTAGCATGCAGCCGTAGATACATTTCTAGGCACACCTGCAAAAAGCTAGAGTTTTTATTCAACATTTTCTAAGATATACATGAATTTACATATTGGCGCTTTTTTAAAATTTCACTAAGCGATAATAACGCCAAATGTGGTTTACGCACTTTGTTAAAATTATTTGAAAGTATGAATGATGACGTTTTTTACTCTCGTCTGCAAGGGAAAATCTGATGTGTGCAGCACATGACTTCCTTGTACAGAATATTAAATACAAGCATTTTTTCTTGCATTTCATTTAAATTATTGGATGGAATTAAATCTACTTCGCCGACAGCGCATAAACCACAATAGAATAAATGCATTCTTTAAAATTCACTCTAGTATTTGTTTACCATAGCGACACTCTGGCGCTAGATTCACTTAACAGTATTAATAATTATATAACAGTTAACTTATATAATAATTATATAACGGAAACTAAGTTAACTGTTATATAATCCAATAATTATATAACAGTTAACGTATATATTTCGTTCATATTATAACTCATAATGCACAAAATTTATATCATTTAAAGAATAAAATTATCTAATCGTTGCCACATGTTCTATTCAAATACTATAATAAAGCTATAATGATTTATAAAAGAAATTAAGCAAACAAAACAAAAAAGAAACATTTTTTCACATAAATTGAGTATTTCCCATTTAATTAACTCAGTTCTCACTTCGCGAGAAGGCAAAAATACATAAAAACTCAAAATATCTGCATTAAAAATTACGAAGTAAATCTTAAACGCTTATTTCCTCGAAAAAATTCCACAAAGGATTAAGCATGATTTAAATAATAAATGAAGGCGTTATCTCTGTTGTTGCGAAGCTAAGTTTCTCTAGATTGGCAACAAATCCGCTACTCAGCTGTTTCAAATGTAAACAAGAAAATGGCCGCCATCAAATTAGGCTTAGCGGCATTGAAACAACTTTAAAATTGTTGATAATTCTAAAAATATTGCATACAGATTTACTGAAGGCATAAAACCCTTAACCGGAAGATAAAATCAACATAATTCAATCATTTTTAAAGCAAAAAATATACAATTTACAAACATATAAGAGTAAAGAAACTGAGATCACTGAGCCGGGTAACAGAGTGGATATATTTATAAATATATTTATATACGTTTGGTGCAGCCGATTGCAACAAAATAGGGAGGTACACAGCTACATGTTATAGCAGTCCTATGCACAACATTTCAAACGCTTTGATGGCTACTCGTTTTTGAGTTATGCGAGATACATACATACGTACATACAACACGTCACGAAAAGATTCTCTATGGAATCCCTTTTAAATCCAACTTGATAATTTTTTTTGAAGCAAAACAGTCTTTTATTCTGTCCGTACGTACAGATATCACCGCAAAAGCATCGTTAAGATTGGCATTTCGATAGCGGTCAAAATGGATATTTTCGTTGAAATATGATACCCGAATGTTTTCGCGATTACAATACTTCCTTTTTACTTCGTACAAGGAAGTAAAAAGGAAAGGAAAATAGGTTGGTTTAAATTAAGAAGTTCGCCAAGTGAATTATTCTTGGCGCAAACGAAAAATATGTGCCAAGTTGAATTTTTGAATTTCGCATCAAATTTTACAAAATTTAGTATTTAGGAAAAATTTGAGTCGTAGAATCGAAATATGGAAATAAATTGGCATGTCATTTCAGAAAAAAGTCCGATTTGCTGTCAAAATATGTGTATAAGAACCAGTGGCGGGTCTTGGCTAAAATTAGTGGTGGGGCTGTTACAAAATAATTCACCCTTTGTTTTAAAATTGTCTAAAAGGAAACAAACATGTATAAAAGGAAAATTTATTTTGAAACTTCATGAAATCTTACAAGGAAAAAATTAAACATTTCTTAATGACTTTAACCAAATTGTTACAGTTCAATCTTTGTCTAATCATTTAAAAATGAAATCCATTCTTCTTGTTTTAATTTGAACGAAAAGATCAGTAATTTTCTCCTTGATCTCTGGATAACAACTGAGGAAATTTTTCTTTATTGAAAGCAATACAAGCGCATTTAGTCTGCCCAAATTCTTAGTGCTTCTTAGAAAAGTTTTCATTCTTTTCAAAGTTGAAAAACAGCGTTCTGCCTCTGATGTAGTCCTGGGAACTCTCAATAGAATTTTTATCAGTTTCATAATTTCACTAATAACATCATCTAGATTATTTTCGAAGATAAAGTTCAGTAGCTCAATTAATTTGCAGTATTCATGGATATCAGACCTACAATAAAACACTTTTAGTTCAGTTTCAAGCTTTTCTTTGTCAATCATTGGATATGCTTCAGTGGACAGTTACTATTTCTTCTGTAGAATGTTTGTTTCCTAAGACTAGCGAAGCATTTCTTGTTTAACAATTTAGCAGCTGCTAAGTGTTTAGTGGAAGAATATCTGTGCATTATATCAATACATAGTTATAAAGTCACATATTTCCTTAGCTTTTGCCATCAAGGTCTTTGAAAAATTCTCGCAGTACTTTGAGTTTCTTAATTCTAAAATAGCAGTTTTGAAATTTGTTATATATTCGTTAACTTTAAACGTACTAATTTCTGGATTGCATTTAGTTATATATTATTTCAACATGGGGCATCTGATAA